TAATGGAATTTTTACTCAAAAACTCACGGACAACAAGAGAGGTGTGGGCAGGGGCATTGTCGTGGTGAAGAATCCAACGCCCCTCTCGCGCCAATTCTGGACGAACTCGTGCCACACGAGCTTTGAGGCGTCTGAGCACATCGACGTAGAATTTTCCATCAACTGTCTGGCCTGGAGGGACGAATGATGGACAATCCCCCGAACATCGAAAAAAACAATCAACATTGTCTTGACATTTGAGCGGGATTTTCTTGATTTTTTTGTTCGTGGTTCCCCGGATGTCTTCCACTCTTTGCTTTGGGATTTTAATTCGACATCAAATTCGTAGAACCAAGACTCATCTCCAGTGATGACTCGGTTCAAAAAGTCACCATTCTCTTCGGCTTCCAACCAGTCCTCACAGCAAGCAACTCTTCGTGATTTTTGATCCGGGGACAAAAGCTTGGGAACGATCTTGGCGCAAATTTTTTTCATTTGAAGTTCGTTTCTTAGAATTTCGTGGACCACGGTTTTGCCCAAATTAAGCTCTTCAGCCACCTGTCTGACCGTTAAACGACGGTCCCCATTAACACAAGTTCGAATTCTTTCCACGTTTTCGTCGGAATGTGAAGTGGAAGGACGTCCTGAACGTGGGTCATCTTGAACGCTTTCTCGGCCCTCTCTGAATCTTTTGAGCCACTTGTGGACGGTTGGTTCCTTCACAGCATCATCCCCATAAACTGTTCTGAGATCGGCAAAAATTTCACGGCCATTCTTGCCGAGTTTCGAGAGAAACTTGATTACGACGCGCTGCTCTTCAACGGAAGCGGGCTCCATGCCGACGGGGTTTCGTTAAGAGGTAACTTCACAGATGGCGTGACAAGCCAGTTCGAACCGCACGGCGGTCAGACCAGAACTGAAGCATTGTTAGGGACATAAGGAAGGGGTCCTGCGCTTACCTGGCCTCCCCACTCCTCTTTCTCGCATTCCAGAACACTTTTATACGAACTTTCCGGACAGACCTCGTACATTAAAATTATATAAATAATTTTAGAATGGAATCCTGAAATTATTATACTGCATTGGAACTTCTAGAAAAATAGTTAACGGGGTAACCAGTAATTAAATTGGGTTTTAAATCGAAATCACATCAAAAATATTAAGTAATTCAATTTATTTCAGTAATATTTATCCAGCTAATTACATTATAGTAATGACAAATCCGTTTTTAAACAATCTTGAGGGGATTTTGTGTATTATTTTATGGTACATAGAAAAAACACGCGTGCAAGATTTTTCTTGACATGCTGACTTTCGTTTGCGCAGGTCTTAATTAGATATAGTTCTGTGGTTAGTGCTTTAGTAATCAAGTGTAAGATTATGACTAATTGAACAAATATCGATGAACTCATATAAATAAAGGTATTTATGTATAAATAGGCCCAATTTATCGAATGACAGTAACAAATTACTATCAGATTATAGATATTTGGATTATGATTACCCAATTTACTTTTATCTTATCGTAAACTTTATAAATCAAATATCGATTTGATCTACCACATAAGTGGTATATCAATTATTTATAAAAACAAATTGATTTGTTTTACGTTTAGGAATGCGATGCGTATGGTATCTATAGGTGTATTTATAAGGTTTAATGAAATAAAAATAATGTACAAGATTTAAAAAGAATATTAAATCTATCTTGAAGTTGCAATGGCAACGCATGGGGGGTATCATAGGCGAAACAATATACTCTGTTATGTCCATGGTATTGCTCATATCTATAGGGGACGGTGACCGCTTTCCATCAGGTGGGCAGTCAGCTTGTTTGCCATTCTAAGTTGCATAAAAAAATCTCCTGAAGTCAAAGACTTTCACCAAGTATCTAATTTAATAAAGTCGAAATGTATTAAATGAAAGTTTGTATGTGTTTAGATATTTGTAATCGCGTCTAATCGTTTGCCTAGATTTTAACTCAATATACCCTTAGCTTGCATATAACATCCAAATATCTTTACAAATATGCCTAATAACAATAGAAACTTTAGGAGGACGCCTCTAGTTTTACAATATTACCTAATAGGATTCTTTCTAATGGTGGATATTCTACAATTTCTAGTACTTATATGCTAGAAGTATTTTAAAAGCATTCAATTCGTTGCTTAATTTGCATTTGCGTATTTTTGCACATAATTTTTGCGTTGTTCTTTTAGTTTTTATCTGTTTCCATTTTATAATTATTACTCTGTTTTGTCTTCGTTATTTTATTTTAACTCTACTATAAGAATTGATAAAAACTATAACCTGTTTAAGTGCAAAGCGATACACTCATATCGCCAATGTTTATTGGTAGAGGGCGCTGTTTTGTTTGTCAGCATTTGAGCAAAGGACGCGGTGTCGAGTGGCGCGTTGAATTTCTCCGTACTCAAATGTTTAGCACGCACGATTTGAGAACGCTAAATGAATGTTTTTTTTTGTAGTAAGCGGTTTTTGTTAAGTATAATTTTTATTACATTAGTAGTTTTATTATTCAAATATTATCAATATTATTGATTGTGTAACACGACTTCACCTGTTTGAAACAGTATGTATTTTACCAAAGGAAGACTTTGTACAAAAATCGATTGCTTGGGTACCTATGTCCCATTCGTGTTTCTACCGTGAAGCAATTACCCTTCAAACACACACAGCCATGCAGACTGTGTTTCGGTTTGAAGGGTGGGATATGGCATGAATTTACAGGGTACACAGGAATAACATCTGAGTCCTCAGGAATGGCAACGCATGGGGGGTATCATGGGCGAAACAGTATACTTTGTTATGTCCATGGTACTGCTCATGTCTATAGGCGACGGTTACCACTGTCCATCAGGTAGGCTGTCAGCTTGTTTGCCATTCTAAGTTGTATAAAAAAAAGTATATACATAACTTATTCGTGTACCAAATTCGAATTTCGAACTTCGAATTTCGAGTTTGAAAATCGTGTATTCGAATTGATTTAGAAGTTTTGCGTGAAAGAGTAACAAAAGCCCATCTATATTACTTCGTTAGAAACTTTCGCATTTATAACATTCTTCTTGTAATGCCTCTCCAACTAATGAAGGTTGGCCATCAGCACACGGAATATTTCTTGTTTAGTACCTTGTCTCCTACGAGATAAAATAATTCGGCTGCACTCAAAATGCCCGTCCATTCCCGTATATTGTGGAGACTAGACTTTTTCTGCGACCGACCTTTCTTTTGCTAGCAATTTTTATAATATTAATTGCATTACATTGTTTTATATATCTACTATCGCTGAATGGTTTTGGCATAGAATGGGCTATTCCTTTCTTTCCAGTCTCTCTAGGGGGGAAAAGATTGTTAGTAATAGAGACTAAGGGTCCTATTGCTAGCAATATACCCAACCAGGTCGACCTCCCCGTGGTTCCCCCTGGAAACCATCGTGAACAATTCTTGTTGAATTCGTTACGATGGGCCAACTGACCTACTTCATCCTCACCTATCATCCTTCACTGGTGCCTCGCCGGTGTATATCGATAGCACGGGTGGGGTTACCATTCCATTATCACCCATTAAAAAAATCCTTTCTGTCCAGTCTCTCTAGGAGTGTTAGTAATAGAATAGAGGATTGTTAGTAATAGAGACTAAGGGTCCTATTGCTAGCAATATACCCAACAATAATAATTTAATAGCAATTTTTATAATATTAATTGCATTATATTGTTTTATATATCTACTATCGCTGAGTGGTTTTGGCATAGAATGGGCTATTCCTTTCTGTCCTGTTAGCAATGGAGTTTGACAGGCAATATACCCAACCAGATCGAAACCATAGTGCTGAATTCCAAGTGTATTCATCACGATGGGCTAACTGACCAGCTTTTTTCATTCTCATCTATCATTCCTCACTGGTGCCACGTCAGCGTGTACCGTTAGCGCAGGCGGGGCAACTATTCCATTATCATCCATTAAAAAAATCCTTTCTTTCTCGTGGGCTTCCTAAGAGGCGAATAAGGGAATTTATTGGTCGAGGTATAGACAGCAGCGTGTCACTTTAAACATCACCAAAGCCTAATTGCAGTTGCCAATCTATCTGCCAAGCACGGCAACTACTGGCAAAACTACCTAATAGGAGAGAACCTATGTTCAGCTCTTCCTTCTTCAGTTTCTGATGATTTCATTAAATTTGATGGAAATAAATGTTGATAGTAAGATCTTTCAAGAGTTACTTCATTCATAAGAGGTGCATAATCGGTTTGTTGCCGTACGCTTTTGTTCAGGCGTTAAACTTTAGTATTCAGTTCTCTCTGGCTTCCCCGCAAAGGACTTGTTGTCAAGGTAGATAATTAGTCTAGCTTATTCATTAATAAGAATATTAATGCTCAAATACAATCTTATTATTCTCGCAAGCTTTCGACTAAACTAAATAAGTAAGTTCATTTCCAATTAAATAATAAAAAAAAAACGTGTTAAGGAACGAACCTTTTATCGTCATTCTGATTACTTTGACTTGTTTTCGGTGTTTTTCATCACCAAAGAGTTAGTCATAAATTTAATTTAAATTTATAACTAACTGTTTATTATATATTTATGTATATTTCCGTAAGTGCAGTGACTTTTAACTGTCCTTATCCAGTTATCCAGAAATTAATATTTTCATTCACATTTACTGATGGATTCTCCATAATCATTCACCGTAGTTGAAAAAGACTGAAATTGACTGGATATATATATATATATATATATATATATATATATATATATTATATATATATATATATATATATATATATATATATATATATATATATATATATATATATATATATATATATATATATATATATATATATATATATATATATATATATATGTTTAGGTGTTTTTATATCCATAAGCATTGGTGAATAGCACTTTGCATAACAGCCACAATATGTTTGCTTCTCTGCACAACAATTTGTAGAAATACGTAAAAATAAGTAACAATTTAATGAAAAAAAAATTGTACTTACCAAATACCAGTTTCTAAAACTAAGTCCACTGTTTCTGGCAACTCTAACCGGAAGCCTGAAATTATATATTTTTTAATTATAAAATATGTATTAAATAATAATAATAGTACATATTATATTTACACGAATTGTTTTTTTTATACAACTTAGAATGGCAAACAAGCTGACGGTCCACCTGATGGAAAGTGGTAACCTTCGCCTAACGGGATACGCTGGCGGAGCACCAGTGAAGGGCGATAGATGAGACTGAAAACAGGCCAGTTAGCCCGTCGTGATGAATTCATCAGGAATTAACCATGATAGTTTCCAGGTAGAATCGCGAGGATGTCGACCTGGTTGGGTATATTGCTAGCAATGGGATTCTCAGTCTCTATTACTAACAATCCCTTCTCCCCCCCCCCCCCCCCCAGTATAAATTTAGATATAAGTTTTACTCCGTTATTGCCAAGGGTGGCTAATATATCAATATATTGTAGTTATAATATCTATACATGTATTAGCTTAATAACAAATATATTAAATATCGGTGACCCGTTCCTAATGAATATAGATATCCGACTGGTATGGGCGATATCGCAATGGGTGATTATCAATATCCAGAAGAGTTCAATATATACATATCAGATATTGCCCATCCCTATTCTGTGTCTAGTATATATTTAATTAGGTAAAAGAAAGATATAAAAGGTAGCTTAACTCACCATCTGTGTTTATCTTTTGTATGATACTGGCCATGTCCTTTACTTCGGCCGCGTAGAAATTCTCACCGCTGTATGGTGTTAAACCTAGGTCTGAATTTTATGTAGTCAGGATAAAGTTGTATAATATATATATATATATATATATATATATATATATATATATATGAAAATATTACACTGAGAAAACAATAGACAGCCTTATCACTAAGAGCGATCTCTTCCAAGCAACCTTTGGATGGAGGAGAAGAAGAAGAAGAAGAAGTCCTGAAAACGGTGAATGAGAAACGAACATTAATTAAAACAATAGAGAATAGAATAGGCATGACGATTTTTAAAGAGCATAGTAGAAGGAAAAATAGAGGGCAAAAGAGGAAGAGGAAGACCGAGGAATAACTACATGAGACAGATAAAAGAACCACGTTATGTAGTATGGGGAGGTCAAGGATATGACCTGGGATAGAACTGGCTAGAAGAAGATGCATGAATTAGTTTCACCGACAAGAGGAAACTCTTAAATTAAAAGAATAGGTATATAATTACTCTTTTATGCAATAAGAATTTTACTTATTTTAATTCCGTATAGCAATATTTTTTTTTATTATAATTTACTGTATGGTAAATTCTTATGATTTATGACACTTGAGGATGATGTTATTAGACTGGTCGTGTGTACAAATAATAAACATATTTTTCATGAAAACAGTGGAACAAAGTACAAGTATTTAAAATATTATGTAGTTAACATGTTTATACTAATAGGGGAGATCATAGGTCTTCCACTAATAGCAGTCAATTCACAGCATCAATGTATTTGTAAATCACCGTGTCTTGGTAATCTCATATGGACTCCCGCGATACAGGTTCTCCTAGTGCGGGGTCCAATGTACTCGCTGTTGTAAATTTTTTGTGTTTAATAAATAAATAAATAAATAAAAATAAATGTAATATGCATGTAATCTAACATGACGTAATGTTAGCCCATTGTTTGCACGTAGCTTCTTATTTTATAGTTTTGCGTGTAGAGTCATGGTTAACATAGCCATCCAGTTCCGTAAAGAAGAAGCTTTACAAACTTCACGGAGTGAATGCACTGTTCCGAGGATCCATATATCTAGAGAGGTCGCGGCTACGCATTCTAGAATTAGGTGGGTGACAGACTTTCGACTACAAAGCAGCATCTAGAAGATACTGTTGTACATACTAATCGCATGGTTACTAATGTTAGCGGAATGAAAAAAAAGTCTAATAAATTAAGTAACCATTGAAACGAACTTCCTCAAAATAACGTCTAAATAAAAAATATATGTAATTAGTTTTTTATATTGCATTGTATAGAGTTAGGTACATTATACGAATGAATGAATTTTGTATGATTAATAAAATCACTAATATTTATGTCAATTATTATGTGTTTCAATCAAATGCACCTCTATACCTATTATACTATTATTTGCCTATAAATATGAGTACTTTGAATTACAATTCCATAATATTGTAACACTTCATAGAATAATTTATAAACAAGTATTTACACGGATTTAGGTTAGTATAAAAAAATAAAATTATTTCTAGTCATGCATATTGTAAGTAATATGCATAAAATGCAATTAATTTCTTTTTATATTATCAATATAGAATATCTTTATCTTCTAAAAAAATTAATAAAATTCAAGAGAAACTGAACAAGGTGATCGATATCAGCTTAAACTGTATCATATTTTATTTTTCGCATATGGGGTCATCTAAGCCTATGCACGTCGACCCATACGGATCTTTTGTGCTTTCCCCTGTCTTATACTATCATTTCATAGATCCTATGTGTTACCCTAACGATATCCCGCGGTTTAAGATATCTGTAGTCTCCTGGCTCTGGATAAGCCATTCCCAGTAGACTTATACGCATACTTGCCAACGAATCGCAGTTGCACATCAAGTGTAGCTTAAACTGTAAGTTATTTAAAATTTACACAGGAGTCCTCGTGTTCCTAAGCGCTTATAAATACTTTTTGTATGACCCGAGGCACGAAACCGGTAGGAGTTATAAATATTAATAATTATATATTTTAGTTACAATATCTATATATTGACCTAATAACGGTTATATTAAATACCGGTTATCCAGTATATAATATCGAAATTGACAAGTCGATCGAAATTAATTTAAATATCTGACTAGAATAAGCGATATTGAAATGGGTGATGAGTTTTTACCACCATCAATGTTCATAAAAACCCAATATATAGATATTGGAGCTGTACCGATTAGGGTATGTAGTTACAAAATCTATATATTGGCTTAATAAAAGATACGTTATATATCGGTTGCCTAATATGTACCTAATATTGGAATGTAGCATCCGATTGAAACAAAAGGAAATCATACTGGCATGAGCGATATCGAAATGGGTGACCTTTTTACTGCCATCAATGTATAGAGAAACCCAATATAAAGATATTGGAGCGGTACTGCTTAGGGTATGTAGTTACAATATCTATATATTGGCCCAATAAAAGATATATATCGGTTGCCCAATATATAATATTGGAATGAAGCACTCGATTGTAACGAATGGAGATATCTGACTGGTATGGGCGATGTCGAAATGGGTGACCTTTTTTTCCAGAGGTATCCAATATACAGATATCGGAATTGTACGGTATTACCGATGCCTAGTAGTGATATTCCCCATACCTACAAGACGGGGAGTGAAGTCAGAGGTCGGTTTATGATTATAGTTAATGAGATGCAATTCATTTAAGTATTACATTAACACGAGAAAAACAATTAGAAGACATACAATTAATGTATCGATAACTATTTACTTCAGGGCGCCATTGTTATGATGTTATTTAGATATTCTTGGATTTTACAAAATCAGTACTCGTTTATTATTTAATAAATAATAGGACGTTACAAACACGCCATCACTGTTTATTGGTCTATTGTTTGATTGGTTAATTTATATAAATATATTCCTTTTTTATTATTATTTATGTGACAATAAGTCAATAGGTTGTTTGATTTTTTTTTGTTTTGTAATTGCACGACATAATGACGTAAATGTAAATTGGACTGCATTTTGCAAACGACTGCAAAAAAGGAGGAAGTTGTCAATTCGGCTGTATTTTTTTTATGTTTGTTACTCCACAACTCTGTCATTTATGAACCGATTTGAAAAATTTTGTTTTTATCTAAAAGGAAATACTTTCAAATAAGTTTTATAGACATTTTATAAAAATCGGTTCCGTAATTCAGTTTTTAAATTGTAATAACTTATTTTGCCACGTTTGATGTCGGTTTTCTTTTGTAGACAAAAATCTTGATTAATTTGCATTTAGTGCATAATGTATATATAACTGTAACTAAAATAGCCAGCCAAGCTCCGCCCAGAATCCAAAAGCTTCTTGCCTCTCTATATAAGTGGTAAACAAATGTATCGATAGATAAAATTAGCCACTGCACACGTGTAATAGAACAAGATGGCAATATTATGTGTCTTGTTCTTTCTCATGATTGCGTTAATAAAAATAATAAAAATCTACCTTTAAGAGATTTATTTAAGAAAAATGGTATCTGTAGATTTAATAGAGTAACCTCACAGTTCCGAGGATTTATGCACAATGGAAAGCCAAAGCTACGTCACAGTTGATATAAGTTATGTTTGTAGCTATGTGTTTTAGCTCCCCTAGACAATGGAAAATTAATCTATCGATAGACACGCTATCGCTGCCGTGTACATAAGATAGAACGAGATAGCAAGAATGTGCCGCAGTTACATTGGTTTTTCAGCAGCTATTTTTAAGTTTTTTATTGCCAAATTTAATAATGATTAAATATTGATTAATCAATATTATAAAAAATTATGATTTAAACATTTCCGTGGCCTATTCATCTCGAGTCCGTATCATTGTGTGATGACTATGTATTTCCATTTAACGAGTAGATTTAAAAAAAAATTGTATATATAGGTATGTTTATAAAAAGGATACAATTCAACATGTCCGATAAAGAGCCAGGGTGATCCGGTGGTGGGGGCGGCGGTGGCGCCTGCGCACGCGGCGGCTTGACCGCGCGCAGCGTGTACGCGCGCACATACTCCTTGCGCAGGTCGTGGAAACGCGCATAGTATAACGGCAAATTGATGTCTTTACTGCACGCTTCCGGGTGGAGGCATTGTCTGAAACATAAATAGAAATATTATTATTTTCATGCGATATTATTTTCATCCGATATTATTTATATATGTTATTTTTAAATTATTGTTTAAATTAATATAATATTGTTCATTACGTTGCACTGTCAATTATATATTTTTTTCAAAATAAATAAATAAATAAATTCTGTTATTGCTATCTACGGTCGACTGGTAAATAACGCCATATGGTGTTAAGTCCGCCATTTGCATTTTTTAGATGTATTAATGTTTAATATATTAATAAATATTTTATGTACACATTGAGAAGACCCTAATTTTTTTTTTAAATAAAATTAAATATACACTTTTAATTAATTAAATATAAATAATTATTTAATTAATTATATTGTTAATTATTAAGAAATTTTGTTGTATAAATACTAGTTTTCAGGCTCTTACGAAGCCGGTCACGATATCATTGATAGATTTATAGAAAATAATATATAACCTATGTTACTGATAATATAGCTATCTACAGGTGAAAGAATTTTTTAAAAAAAGTAGTTTTAGAGTTGATCCATTACAATGTAACAATCAAATCTTTGCACTTCATAATTTTAATATAGATTTAATATGGATTTGTAACAATGATTGTAAGTTGTTAAGAAAATAAACAATGTTATGATAGTAATAATATTATTAATTTAATCGGGCAACATTTTTAACTATGACCAAGGGGATGTTAAAGTAACTATGCAGTAAGTCCGTAATGAGTTTGCCAGAAAGAAATTGCTTTATAGCGAATTAAAACTTTATCAGCGAATTACATATTATATATAATAATTCTATTTATTGTTCAATAAATCGAATGAATTATTCGAGATTGAATGTTTCTATTTGTTACTATGTAATTTAATTTAGAGAGTTGCATTGTTAAAAGTTTCGTAAGCGAACATTATATTTTAATGTAATAACTGCCGGTTTAACATATAATTTGGTTAAAAAAGCTCGACTAGTTTTCAACGGGCCGAGGCGGGCATTCAGGCTTGCGCTCGCGCCACTGCCGCTCAAGATTAAGGCTCCCGAATGGTTCAGAAACTAGTCGAGCTTTCTCGACTAAATTACACGTAATATAAACCAGTAATTACATTGAAGTATAATTTAGAGTGTCACTGTGATTATTTGTATAAAATTTGATTGCTTTTTCATTAAATTATTAATTAACCCTTCTTTGCATAATAGTGGAAATTCCCATCTGACATTGAATGCCCAAAAATTATATAAAAAAACAATTTCACTTTAAGTTGATCGTGTCTGGATACCTTTTTAATGTCCGTTGCAAAAAAAAAAAACAAAACATAGCTGTCAAATTTATTTTTTTTAACCATTTTTTCTTTAATTTTGAACATGAATTGTATCACCTTGATTTATTTCATCAATAAAAAATCATGCAAAGAAGGGTTATGTCTATTGAAAGAAATATTGCACATTGTGTAACCAGAGGAAGACTTTGTACAAAAGTCGATTGCTTGGGTACCGCTGTCCCATTCGTGTTTCAACCGTGAAGCAGTTGTGTTTGCATGGCTGTGTTTCGGTTTGAAGGGTGGGATATGGCATGAATTTACTGGGTACAGAGGAATAACACCTGAGTCCTTAGGAATGGCAATGTATGGGGGGTATCATGGGCGAAACAGTATACTCTGTTATGTCCATGGTACTGCTCATGTCTATAGGCGACAGTTACCACTTTCCATCAGGTGGGCTCTGTCAGCTTGTTTGCCATTCTAAGTTGTATAAAAAAAAAGATAGGTACTAACTGGGTGTTTAGTGCGTAATTTCACATATATGGTAACCATTATTAATATGACATATTGCTTTAGTAACGTAGCTTCTATATATATTCGTGTTTATTGGTTTATCTTTTTTGCAGGTCCTAATTGCTGTTTGAAGACCTATGTGCGTATGCTAAAGTAGGATGTTGACATTTTTAATGTAATTTCACAGACTTAACGTAATGTAACGCACAGATTGTTAACCAATAGTTACCTACTTTATTTATTTTTTTACCACTGAGATGGTAAACAAGCACATAGCCCATCTTTAGATTACATAGATAGAGTGTCCCCGTACAAATGCATCGAGAAAAGTAGATCAACTTTTCCATACAATTTTGCGTGATAAATAGTTATGAGTGATTCCTTTATAACTTCTATATTTATTTTGTTTTATAATTTTTACATCTTTTCAATGCATAAAAATTCATTTTATTTATTAAATAATTAAATATAGATACGTCAAGATACATTCTGTGCGTAAATATATAGAACACTGATAAGTAACTTAAAAGTTGAAGTCTAAAACTGTTTTTGAGACTTGATGCTCTGTCTATATAATCTAAGGGCCCACCTGATGGTAAGCGATTACTTTAGCCTATGAACGCCTGCAATACCAGAGGCATTATGCACGCTTTACCGACCCTGAAGGAAACCTCTTTACCCTTTTCTTTGAAGAACCCCATGTTGTAGTCTCTTGGAAAAACCTTGACAGGGAGCTCATTCCTCTATCTATGTATCTATTATAACTATAAAAAATACAGTATGGGGTTCGTCAAAAAGGGTGTAATAATTTTTATAAAAAACAGAAATCAACTCGTAAATTTACGTAAACTACAATAAATTACTTGACTCATTTAGACATTTTGACCATGTTAAACCCGCGGTGGTCACGACTAGACTGAGGTAGCGCTGTCATATCTTCCACTTCCGAGTATAGAAGTATTTTCTTCTACGCATTTATCGTGTCTCGGGAGCGGAGATATAACAGGGCTGAATCTGTCAGGGCAGTCGATTCGTGACCACGGTCGGTCTAACCTGATGGGAACGTCGACATCATCATATCAGCCTTTAACTGTCCACAGCTGAACATAGTTTCCCCCTTGAGGGGTTTTGCTAGTAGTTCCCACGCTTGGTAGGCATATTGGAAACGCAGTAAGGCTTTGGAGATGTTTTAAGAGAGTCGCTACTGCCTATTCCTCGCCCTCCATTATTCGTCTCTTACGACACCCACGGGAAAGGAAGGGGTGGCCTATTCTACGCCGGGACCGACACGGCTAAACATCGACGTAACTCAGGTAAATTATCATAGTTTATCTAAAAAATCGCGTTAATTCCTGTCGACTACAAACAATAATACATGAATACCAGAAATTATACACATTGAACTTTGAACCGCCCCCGAAAAACGAAGAATGAAGTGGTATTGTTAATTGATGTAACAACGGATGTATGACGTAGGTATGTATGTTTTTTTGTTCGTGATGTCTTAACGAAACGTTTGAGAAATAATAATTTATTCTATTGACTCTGTTACGTATGGTAATTGGGTAACAATAACCATAAGGATAATAATCTATTGACATTTCAAAACCATGTACATATGACCCCATAGTCTTTTCCTATTCTTTACGATTGTTTCCAGGGAGGGCTGTAGCAATTGATATCTGATACTGCTAGTCAACGATATAATCCTGTCTCCTCAGGACAAAAAAAGATTGTTAATAATGGGCACTAATGATCCCATTGTTGAAAATATGTTCAGTGAGGTCAGGTCAGGTTTTTTTGTTGATGATAATGAAACGATAACTCCGTCCGTGCTAACGGTATATGCTGTTGGGGCGGGCAGCTCAAGTCTAAAGCTGCTTGCGGTTTTCCCTGTCGAGAGTTATTCCTGACGTATTCGTCACGATGTGCTAACTGAGCTGTTTCATCTTCACCTACCATTCCTTACTGGCGTCCCGGCAGTGTACACCGATAGCGCAGGCGAAGCATTGCATTATCATCTATTGAAAAATCTCGTTTTCTCGATTCATGAGGCTTAGAATGATATATGATATACAATATAGGCAGTTTATTAATATACAATAATATACAGAAAAGTAGGTTTTTTTTTGATAGGTGAAAATGGAATGGTAACCCCGCCTGTGCTAACGGGATACGCTGGCGGGGCACCAGTGAAGAGTGATCGATGAAAATGAAAACAGGTCAGTTAGCCCATCATGATGAATTCATCAGGAATTCACCATGATAGTTTCCAGGGGGAACCGCGTGGACGTCGACCTGATTAGGTATATTGCTAGAAATGGAATTCTTAGTTTCCATTACTAACAATTCCTTTCCCCCCAGAAAAGTAGGTTAGGTTATTGTTGTTGCTTACATTGATTTTTTATTTCTTTGTAGTATATTTAATACTGTAATAATTTAATGTAAATAAATATTGTATAAAAATAGCGTGGGTCCTGGTTACCTTATTAAAGAATTTATTTATTATTATTTCTAGAAAATTCACATCTCCCCTTATTATTATTAATAAGAGCACCGCTTTTTGCATCTTTTTCGGAATCCCAACCGTCTGAGATGTTGTTAACCGTTCATCGACAAAACGATTGGAATGATTTCGGTGGACGTCACCCCCCACATTTCGGTCACCTCGTGAGCCAGGTCGAGATATTTTCTCCTTTTCTCGGTTTCGGCTTTCACGAGGTTCTCGTCATGCGGTATGGTGACATCCACCAAAAACACCCTCGGGAGTGCCCGATCCATCACCACGATATCAGGTTTGTTCGCAATTGTTGTTATTATTAATTTAATTTTCTAATATGACTAATATCAACTTCAGTCCTGACAAAGTCAATTATTTTGATTTAAATAACTAAACTATTGAATCGATTTTTCAGATAAAAATATCCAAGTCGTTTTATAAATGACGGAGTTCTAAAGTGGCAAACAAAAAAATACAATCAAATTAAGAACCTCCTTTTTCTGAAGTCGGTTGTAAATTGTAACATAACGAAGTCCATACAAAGAAAATATTAAAGAAATATTAAATATTAAATAAGGAGGTTTAATACGAGCAATAGAAGCGAAAACAATATTTATTTTTATTTTTATCTCTTTATCTCTATGTTTGTTCCATCATCGAGAACAAACTACTGTATCAAATTGGATGCGGTTTTGTTTACAGGCGTACAAAGTTGCGGGCAAAAAATAATATAAAAATAAAGATACAATTACGGCTTCCGTCAAGAAAACCGATGCCAAATTGAAAAAAAACTAAATATCTTAATGTCAACATTTAAACTTATGATAAAATTCTCGCATATCTTTTTGGATTAAAAGATAATTAAAAAATATATCAATACCTATATAAATAGATTTATTGTAGTATCTATTTGACAGATTAGATAAATACATATAAATAGTCGACAGTAGATTCAAATGGGTACAGTCAGCAACAAAAGTCGGCACACGGTATAGATATACGAAATTCCTAAACGTCGTTGCATAAGTCGTCGAATAAAATTATCACGAGAATTGTATAAAAAGTCTAAATTAGCTTAATGTATTCAATTATTTTTAGGTTACAATTAGGTTTTCCCAAGAGCCTACAGCATGGGGTTCTTCAAAAGGGGGGTTAAGAGGTTTCTTCAGGGTCGGCAACGCACGCGTAATACCTCTGGTATTGCAGGTGTTTATAGGCTACGGTAACCACTTACCATCAGGTGGGCCGTATGCTTGTTTGCCACCTCAGTGGTATAAAAAAATATATGTAACGTTGTATAGTAGGGGTGAGTAATATTTTTTTTTTTATATAACTTAGAATGGCAAACAAGCTGATGGTTCACCTGATGGAAAGTAGTAACCGTCGCCTATAGACATGAGTAATACCATGGACATAACAGAGTATACTGTTTCGCCCATGATACTCCCCATGCGTTGCCATTCCTGAGGACTCAGGTGTTATTTCTCTGTACCCTGTAAATTCACGCCATATCCCACCCTTCAAACCGAAACACAGCCATGCAAACAACTGCTTTACGGTTGAAACACGAATGGGACAGAGGTACATAAGCAAACGACTTATGTACAAAGTCTCCCTCTGGTATATCGTAATATACACATTATAGCAATATCCATATATTTTAGTTACAATATATACTGGTTCAAAAACGAATATGTTAAAAGTCTGTTATCCAAAAAATAGTATTGGTTAACAGACATTTATAATACTTGAAAATAAACTTTGGATACGGACGATATCGAAATGGATGAAGACTTTTTCGCCATCAACGTCCAGAGTAACCCAAAATAGATAGGTATAGATATCGGATAGGTATTCATATTACGCATAACTAGTGTATAGTGGTTTTAAAAATATTAATGGGATAAAATATAAATAGGATCGGTAACGCACGCGTGACATCCCTGGTGTTACAGGCGTCCATACGCTACGGTAAACTCGTTTACCATCAGCCGTGCCGTATGTTTATTTGGCATTATAATAAATTAAAAAAATAATGCGTTTATCCACTTTTGTTGCTGACGGTACAAACTCATTGACAAGTGATAGTTTTGGATTATAAGATACGCAGTAACAATTATATTATCTTTATATAATATTGTAGGCATTCTGTAATATAGCCGATAGGAGTGTTGTTAAAGGTATTTCAAATAAACTGCTGAAAAAATGTTGCTATGCTTTGTATAATTCTGTGTTTAACTGTAGGATATTTTATATACCGATTCACGCGGATAGCACCGCAGGAAATAGCTAGTATATATTAATATACACGATAATTGTATTGTAATACCAAAAAACAGATGATAGTGATCAAAGATGTTCTGTCTCTTTTTTGCACTTTGAAAAAAGTAATGAAACACTTTAAATAGTTGTAAAAAGTTTTGAGATAGAGAGTTTTATTGTTTATAAATATACTGCACTATTATGCAGACAAAGTCACGGGCGGGGCTAGTTCAGTATGTAAGTAGAACTACTAGTTGAACGGGGCAATTGACTGTTAATGACCCGTAGCACCACGCGTTTTATAATCTATAATCATTGTGTATTTCGTAATATATAATAGATTCGTACTAAAATGGGACAACGTATACTTGTACATTATTTTCTCGATCGCCGTGTGGTCCCATTATTTTTTTTTTATCTTTTTTTATTTAGAAGCTTTTATCCTATAAGGATATGTCAGCCTCATCGTACCCTAATCTTAAAATATACCTCACATACTTAAAACATTAATACGTAAATAAATAATACATAATATCTGGGGCGAAAGGGATTGTTAGTAATGGAGACTGAGAATCCTATTGCTAGCAATATACCCAACCAGGTCGACCTCCTCGCGGTTCCCCCTGGAAACTATCATGGTTAACTCTTGATGAATTCATCATGATGGGCTAACTGGCCTGTTTTCATTCTCATCTATCACCCTTCACTGGTGCTCCGCCTGTGTATCCCGTTGGGGTTACCATACCATTTTCACCCATCAAAAATAAAAAAATACATAATATCTTAGTAGTTTATTTTAATAAAGGGAATTATTGATACAAAAATATAGTAGTAATTAAAGATTTTGCCATTCCGGAATGTGGTTCTGCGAGTATATTTGAAAATAAACCAATCTCCTGTCTATTGAGACTATATTTCTCTATCAATACTTCCCTTTGTGTTTTGTATTTTGTACATTCGGATATTATATTCGGTCCCATTATTAAAAAAAGGATTAGCGTCCCTCTTAGACCATCATCAAAGCCTTACTGCGATTGTCAACTTGCCTGGCACATCTCCCTTTACGGGGGAGACTACGTTCAGCGGTGGACAGTAAACAACTATAATATTCGTATATTATTTGACAATTTCCAAAAATAATAAAATAATTTTTAAACGTATACATTAACTCTCAATTGTTTAAAAAAAAAAGCAACAAATATTATTACAATGTGTATTCAATCTTAGAGAATAAATATTTAAAAAGTGCTCACAGTAATTTACCTCTAAGTATATATTTATCTGGTACTTTATATTTCGCATTTAAATGTTTATAATAATAGGGATATAATGCATGGGATTTATAGCGACAAATCTAAATTTTTTTGGTAATAAATAAAAAGAAAAAATAACCTAAAAATCTCAATTATCCGATAAATCCGCCATTGTACTATTTTTTTTTTATTATCAATAAAAATACAAGTTACAGAATTTATGTTACATTAGCATTCAGAAACCACGTAGGTTTATATTAATACTAAATACATTCAAATTATTTAAATTGTATTAAATTATTAAATTGTATTTATTCTCTTAAGAACACTACGCCCTAAAATTCAAATTTTTACTATACAACAAAACATACAAACCTTAAACAATTTACTCTAATGTAAAGTACGTATCTATACACAAGAAATACTTCATAAATATTTATATATTTATATCTATTTCTGTGTTTAATTCAATACCCATAATTGCAGTACATACCGGATGTTCAAATATCTATTATATCCGTTTTATGATCGATAGATAACACGCTTGGCGCAATAGTCATGTAAATATTATGTAAATCTATGTAATATTTTTAAATTTCTATATCTGTTCTGTATGTAGATTAAAAATACAACGGAAACGGGGTCAAAACGATGTCGGTCAATGTTTGAAATCTATCAAAAATTATACAGAAGCATAATCTGTGCATTATACTTGTAATATGGTGCGGTTAACAGAAAAAAAATTGTTCAAAAAAATTGTAATCGTACATAAAAAAAAAATCACTAAAGTAAGTAAAAGTTAGCTTAAACATTCAACCAAAACGTTTAAAGATTGAAACTAAATTCGCAGCAAAAAATCGGCAGCTACTGGCAAAACCCTTCCAATAGAGGGTGGCCTATATTCAGCAGTGGACTAACTGTACACTGATATACTAGTACAAAAGTAGTCTAGCATGTAATCTATCTATGCTCTTGTAATATACACGATATGTTAAGCCAAGCTTTCGAGAATATATTTATAAAAACTGCATTCAATTTTGTGCAGTAGCCTCTGCTTATATCAAAATAAAACACAGACAGAACGACAGACAGAAAAAATATTATTTTGGCATCTATTGGTTGAATAAATAAATTTTTTTTTTAAATATCTATCATGTAGGAACATTGCCTAGTTACAATGTTATTATATTAGTAACGAGTAACATAATATGTCCTAGGACTTACCTGAGTGGTGGCTGTCCATCTGTGACTAGTCTGAACAGCGGGGACTGTGGGTCCACTTGGAGAGATCGCACGAACTCATCGAACTGAAACAATAAGAGGTTCGTTTAATGCATTTTATCCAACTGTGACGGGAAAGGAGGATAATTTTTTATAAGAATATTAATTAATTAATATTTCTTATAAGCAATTCCCCTCTAATGGCGCCGTTTCTTATGACAGTCTATGAAGGAGGCCTATTTTTTTTAACAACATAGAATGGCAAACAAGCTGACGGCCCACCTGATGGAAAGTGATAACAGTCGCCTATAGACATGAGCAATACCGTGGACATAACAGAGTATATTGTTTCGCCCATGATACCCCCCATGCGTTGCCATTCCTGAGGACTCAGGTGTTATTCCTCTGTACCCAGTAAATTCACGCCCACCCTTCAAACCGAAACACAGCCATGCAAACACAACTGCTTCAAGGTTGAAACACGAATGGGACAGAGGTACCCAAGCAATCGACTTTTGTACAAAGTCTCCCTCTGGTAAATTTATATATTTAGCAGTGGACAAATAACGACTGACATGATAATGATGAACATTTGTTATTACTAGCTTTAACCCGCATCTTCGTCTGTATGACCGAGATATGTTCACTGAGTGGGATAAAAGCAGTCTATATCCTTTTCCATCCCATATAGTACGTGCATATTAAATTTCACAGTGATTGGTTAAGCCGTTATGGTTAACAAAGAAACAAGCTCACATTAAAATTCATCACCATCACATCAGCTGTTAACTATCCACTGCTGAACATAAGCCTTCCTCTTGGGAAGGTTTGCCAGTAGTGATCACGCTTGGCAGGCGGGTTGGCAGCCGCAGTTAAGCTTTGGAGATGTTTGAGGGACGCTGCTGCCCATTCCTCGCCCTCTCTTAGTCGCCTCTTATACACACACGGGAAAGGAATAAGTAGCCTATTCTATGCCGGGACCATACGGAAATTTCACGTTCACATTAATAATTAATATTTTTTAATTTTTTTTTATACAACTTAAAATGGCAAACAAGCTGACGGCCCACCTGATGGAAAGTGGTAACCGTCGCCTATAGACATGAGCAGTATCATGGTCATAACAGAGTATACTGTTTCGCCCATGATACCCCCCATGCGTTGCCATTCCTGAGGACTCAGATGTTATTCCTCTGTACCCTGTAATTTCACGCCATATCCCATCCTTCAAACCGAAACACAGCCATGCAAACACAACTGCTTCACGGTTGAAACACGAATGTGATAGAGGTACCCAAGCAATCAACTTTTGTACAGTCTCCCTCTGTTTTAGTATTAGTAAGGATTAATTTTACACTTAACGGCTTTAGTACATTAATTTAAATTTATTACTAACTGCTTGATGAAGACAAAAACCGACAACAAGCCAAATTAATCAGAATGTCAACAATACGTTCGATTCTTAACAAGTTTTTTTTTTAATTGGATAACAGTTGAATGGTAACCCCGCCCTGTTATCATCCATTAAAAAAAAAAAGTTTTATTTTCCTCTTTCCATACTTCATTGCTGAACATATGAAATATTGTAAGTAGATGAAGTATATGGAGCCACTTTTGCTGCAAATAACTATATAGACTATATCTAATTTGCATGTAATCATTTCTTAATATAGCTTAATATAGCGGTAAATGTATCTGGGTCTCTATATTTATCTGTACCGCACGGTATCGGGTCAAGGCGCTTGTTTCCAACTTAAGTAAATATTGTTACTTATTTTTTTTAATTTAACTAGCGAATTCAAACATTTTCGTTTGTGTAGTCGAAGAAATTATTTTTTAATAAATATTCGGCCAGAAACGTTCCTGTCTATTGATCTATCAGGTTCTATAAGGACACGAGGGAAAAAAATATTTTTTTTTTGTTTGGGGTCCAAAGGAGGTACTCGAAATTTCGAAATGTGACTAATAGTCCAAGTGAGGTATCATATGAAAAGGCTTCATTTGTTTGAAATAATTACAGTTTATAAAAGTATAAGTGAATATTACAGGAAAAGCAAAACGATGTTTCTAACTAGCACTAATTTTGAGTAACTATCGAAAAACTTCCAAAACAAACTTAGTTATGTCATCCAGTTTTTAACCAAAATTATGGTCCAGAATAAGAAATTACGAATTAAAATGTCAATAATAATAAATATTAGGTAATTTTTAGTATGAATAAAGCAGTAAAGGTCCTATATATGTAGAGAATCGTCGGCGAATAAGTTCAATTCGCACCTGACCAATTTTTTTAGTAGTAAAATAAGTATACTAGTATGGATGTGTTTCGATTTAACCCTTCTTTACGTAATAGTGGATTTTTTTTTATACCACTGAGGTGGCAAACAAGCATACGGCCCACCTGATGGTAAGTGGTTACCGTAGCCTATGAACACCTGCAATACCAGAGGAAGGAGGAAATTTCCATCATAACATTGAATGCCCCAAAATTATATAAAAGAACAAGTTCACTTTAAGTTAATCGTGTCTGGATACCTTTTTAATGTCCATTGCAGAAAAAAAACAAAGCTGTCAAATTTATTTTTTTAACCATTTTTCCTTTACTTTTGAACATGAATTATATCACCTTGATTTATTTCCCCAATAAAAAAATCATGCAAAAGAAGGAATAAAAACTATGGCAGTTAAACTACAAGGTACGGAGGCACTCTTTGGTCCTCAGAAATGGTAACGAATGTGGAGTATAGTTGGCTTCACAGTGGTCTCTGTGATAACTTTTGGATTATAAAGTTTAATTTTAATAAAGTTCCATAATTTTATTATATATATATATATTGTTTATAAGTGGTTACAATTGTTTCTGTTATCCTTTTTTTGGAAGGTTCTTTTTACAAGTATGTTTGCCATAAAAATACTAAAATTTATTTTACTTAGCATCTAAAACCTTCATATTTCCTTACATGTACATTACATACTAACTACATACAAATCTAATCTATTATCGTGTTTTTTGTCGCTTATCGTAAATGGACGGGTAGAGCTACTAAATTAGGAGTTAGTAACAATTGTTTGATAAGTAATTGGGTACCTAGGTAAGTAGTGGATATTTATTACACAAACTTTGGTCCGTTTTCTCACAATGTTGAATGTAATAAAAAAAAATTATGTTCGTAAAAAACAAATTTGAAAAGAGACGTCATCAAGTGAACTTAAGTATAATATTAACAGTTATATTCATTAATATAAACGCACACATGTAACAGTTCTTATCTTTGTGTTTATAAAGACTACCCATACACCTAAACAAAGACAGTTTTTTTTTATTTTTTGATGGGTGAAAATGGTATGGAAACCCCGCCTGCGCTAACGGGATACGCTGGCGGAGCACCAGTGAAGTGTGATAGATGAGAAAGAAAACAGGCCAGTTAGCCCATCATGATGAATTCATCAGGAATTAACCATGATAGTTTCCAGGGAGAATTGCGAGGTCGACCTGGTTGGGTATATTACAAGCAATGGGATTCTCAGTCTCCATTACTAATAATCCCCTTTCCCCCCAAACAAACAAAGACAGTTACGAATTCGTTCTTTTTTATATTTATATTTGGTATATTTAGTAAACACTAAAGACTGATGACCCGTGTGGCATACAATAGGCCAGCCCATTTCCGTGGGTGTAGTAAGAGGTGACTACGGGAAGGCGAGGGATGGGCAGCAGCGTCCCTCTGAAAACACCACCTAAGCTAAACTACGGTTACCAATCCACCTGCCAAGCATGTCAACTACTGGTAAAACCCCTCAAGGGGGAGGCTTATGTTCAGCAGTGGACTGTTTAAGGCTGATATCATTGAAAGAAAGAATAATTATTTATAAATCCTAGTGATGGATGAAAGAAGAATTACGCAAGAGATTTATCGAGCAAGAATGAATGGAGATGTCGGTAGGGACCGCCCTGGACGGACGTATGTTGACCAAATAGGCGACGTGCTGAAGAAGGGCCAAATTAAAAGTACCCGTAACCGGCGAGCATGTATGAAAAGATTGAGGAATGTGGAGGAAGCGAAAGAGGTTTGTTTGAATAGAAGCATTTGGCGTTCCATTCCAACAATGGAACGCCAAATGCGTTCCATTGTTTCTACCTACCCTAATGGGAGACAGGCGTGACAGATATGTATGTATGTATGTAAATCCTAGTGAATTCTCTACGACAGATCAACTAACCTGGCGTCATTCAAATGAATTTATTTTCCACCATTACTAATTAGCATAACTAGATTTTTTTAATGGGTGAAAATTAAATCGTGACCTCGCCTGCGCTGTCCGTATTCATTGACAGGGTACCAGTGAGTGATGATAGGTGAGGACGAAGCAAGTCTTGGCCTTTCGTGACAAACTGAACAATAATTAACCACGATAGTTTCCAGGAAAAATCGCGTGGAGGTATATTGTTAGCTAAAAATTTTTTTTTAATGGATGCCAAAGGATTGGTAACCCCGCCTGCACTAACGATACACGCTGGCGGGGTACCAGTGAGGGATGATAGGTGAGAATGAAAAGTCAGACCAGTTAGCCCATCGTGATAAATTCACCTGGAATTCAGCACGATTGTTTCTAGGGGGGACTAAGAGGAGGTTGACTTGACTGGGCATATTGCTAGTAATGGGACTGGTAGACCGCATTACTACCACCCCCCCCCTCCAGCTTAGACTGTTAGACTCTATTACTAATAACTACCTACCTAATAACTAACTACCTAGGCAAGTGTACCATTCTATCTTAATTGATAAAGAGAAATACAAATAAAAGTTGTATGTCACAGATGTAGTGATTCATCTGAGCACAGACGTGATATGACAACAAATAGTCTATAAATAATAGTAATAAATTAGCTGAAATATGACCATTTCAGCTAATTTATTAGTCTGTGGTCGTATTTATAAAAGTCAATGTCATCATCAATGAATAAACTGTTGTTCACGAATGTTCCCACGTGTCTCAAGTTTAATACTGTACAATTAGTTTTCCATGATTCTGTGTAAGAAAACCGGAATCAAAGCGACCACATAATTTTATTCAAATGTTCTAT